TTCCTTGGACTGCCTGCTTGCGCTCTACACATATGACAGTCCGAAAAAAGGGAGAGAACACTGCCTTCGCCTATCTTGATATGTAAACTTCGATCGAGGTGCTCATTTACTTGGTAGCCTTGTTTCCCACCCGTTGTGCGCGTACCAACGGGCGGGATTTTCCTTCCAGAAGGCGGGAGTCAGAGAGCCCAAAGACCAGAGGCCAGAGGGTCAGACCTTCGGAGACAAAAAAACCCAACCCAGCGCTTCCATTTTGGGCCAACACGTGCCCAAATGGTTGGTGTGATACCGCCGCCGACAGAGTGCTAAAAAACTGCATTTTTTCTTCTATTTTTTTCTAATTTGTCCTACTTACAAAAAAAGTTACACGCAGTCCGCCCACCAGCCTATCTTTCCTAGTATAAAACAAAAAAAAAACGGACTGAACCGGAGATTTGAGAAGCCGAGAACGAAAAAATCGGACAGGTACCGAAAACCAGAGCCAGCACAGAACCTGACATCAGAACCTGACATCAGAACCTGACATCAGAACCTGACATCAGAACCTGACATCAGAACCTGACATCAGAACCAGATAACAGAACCAGAAATCAGAACCGGAAAACCAGAACCGGAAATACGAGAAATCAGAACCAGAAATCAGAACCAGAAATCAGAACCGGACAGCCCCTCCCCTCCTTCCTCAGTGTGCGGTACTCCCCTTTAGGCGGGGGTAGACCTGGGTGATCCAAGATCTCTAGGGACCCCCAACCACCTTGGCAAAACGAGCCAAAGATCCGAAGAAGACCTCCGAGGTATATCCTCGGAGGTGTGCTTCTATTGTAATGCAAATAATCGACGTCCAAGCCGCCTGTTCATCAGTCGCTGTTCGCCACACCCTGAGCATTGACGCCGTCAGGGTGATGATTTTCATTTTCTTTGATGTGTAGGATTCGAAATCCTGCATGGAGTGAAAGTGGAGATGCTTGTCCTTCATCAGCAACATCTGATTCTTCGTTCATGGGAAAATGTGCACCCGAGGAGGATCTGGTTCAAGGAGAATCATGCACCCAAGAAAATCCTATTCATTCGCCCCTTCGTCTTTCCTCACTAATGTTAACGACTCAGGGTAGCATGTTGCGAACCTGTCAAATAATGCACTCGCCTCCTGGTAGCTACCTTGCGTCGACTTATCCATCACGATAACAATTGAGACATCGTCCACCATTCTAATTCCGGCTATCAGACGCCGGTCATTCCCAAGACTGCTAAGGAAATCGAATTATGACTTGGCGCACAAAAGGTTAGCGAGTGCAGGGGACGAGTGTTTACCCATTGGTATACCAAATACCTGCTGGTATACCTTCCCTTCACAAATTGTGAAGGTATAATCAAGCTTGAATCTCAACATGCTGAAGATCATTCGAAACGACAGAAAAAGATAATCATCTTCCCTACAGGTGGTCCTGGTCATCCTGCAGTTCTTTCCCCTCCTGCTGAGCTTCACCCCCGCCAGTCCCCTCCTCTCATGCATGTGAACCAACCAGGTTACGGACGAGATGATATCACCATGGGGGAGCTTAGCAAACATAGCTTTGATGTCATAGCTCCTTCCTACGACCGTATCCCCAAACTCCGCCACAGCTGCAACCTTCTTGTTCATGACTGCCTTCAAGTTGTTCGTAGCTCGTAGGCTAAAGTGTTGATTCTCTGGCAGGCACACAAGCATATACCTCAGGGCTCTCCCCAGTCTAGAGCTCGCTGTCCTGGATGGTTCCGACCATGATGGTGAGATCGGCCGCCATCTTCCGTAATCCTTATCCTTCGGGATTACCTAGGCCCTTCCTAGTCTTCCACACGTCCGCCACGTGGCTACATGCAGGAGTCCGGCTTCTTTGTACGCAGCTTTCGACTCTGCTAATACCCGCTCTTCCTTCTGCGTCTTATTTACGAAGCCGGGATTCCAACTGAACGTCATGCGGAAGCCATGGAAGTACAACACTGGACATATTACCAAAGTCGCGCCTGGATTCCTATCCAACGGCACCAGGACTAGAGAGTGTATGTCGCGCACGTTGCGGGCGACCTCCTGCTCGGTCAGCGCAGATGGCAATGCCATCTGCTCATTGACACATCTCCGGACATCTGCGTCTGACAGTTGTAGCAGATTGTTCCTCCATGTCTTCGGTATCACCTTGATGATGGCCTCCAGGAGTTCCAATGTGTTTACGGCCCTGCCGCATGTGACATTCCTTGAATTGAGAACGAACCGATGTACGCCTCGCACCTCTTCCAGTCTCGTCCGCACGTGTCCCTGAAACCGCTGTAGCGACAACGTTGAACACGTGCATCCCTCCTCGCCATTCTGCAGCTTCTTCTTGTAGTTGTGGATGATGTTGGCAACCGTCCTGCCCTTCGTCTTCACCATCCTCATCCTCTCTATGACGAGAGTGCGAATGGCTTCATCAGGTACGGATATAGTAATCACCTTCGTCATGAGGTCCCTAACAGCACTCTGATTCACCTGGACCGAATACGGAAACTTCACGTACAATCTCCTTCTCACCTCGACCCCAAACTTCTGCTTCAATACACGCGAGATCTGGTTCTTCAAACAGTTTCGTGTAGTGTTGCTCGAGAACAAGCCCGCCGTTCTGTAAAAGGCTACGAGCTTCCTACTCGATAGCTTGTACATGGTGCGGACCCGCCAAGGTTGCATCAGAGTATCTCGTAGAAAGCGCTTGTTCCGCTGCGTGCTAGTCGAGGTTGCAACCAGATTGACTATCCTAAACACACAGCTTGCTTCAAGATCCCTCTTAGCTTCCCACAACTTCTTCCGAGTCTGCCCAATGAGGATATAAGTCTGTCCGTATTTCTCCCGCAACTTCTTCCATGAGCCGACCCATACCCTTCCCGCTTCTGAGGTCAGTCTCACTTCTTGCTTCCCCTTGATACTGTCTAAGAGATCTGTCAGGGACGCGTACGATTTCGCCTCATACCGGAAAAGGACTATTCCACCATCCCTATCATCTTTTTTCCCTCTCTGTCTCCCCTTCCGTCGCTTCTTCGGTCGTGTCCTCACACACCCAATCGTGTTAAGAACAGACGAGAACCTGTGAATCATAGATCTTTCAACTACTAGCCCGTCCTCAACTCCCGTCACTAATGGCAACACTATGTATTTGTTCCATCCATAGAATCTCAGCCACGAATTCAACTTCGGCGCATTCCCAACCCCACCCGTCTTCGAGCACCTAATATGCTCCGCCCAGCGTGTGATTATCCACCTAACCGTGCACCCCACATAGAATTTCTTACAAAAGGGACTCACTACTGCATACACACCTGGTTGATTGGTATCTACCCGATGCGGATCTACATGATACTTCATAATCTTCCTCATCCATGGTACGTATCCCCGGACGACCAACAGCAGAACCAACAGGGCCAGCTCATTCTCCTCATCTCTACGTAGCAATGGATGGGCTCCGGATGCCTCCCTCCCCCCACTCCCCAAACAGAGTTCATGGATACGTGCTGCCGCGGTCCGTGAGGTAAGCTGTCTACCATCATCAAACATCCTTGATCTCGACCCCTCCTGGTTTCCGTATTGGCGTCGGCTGCGCGTATCGTTCGAAGAATCCTTCGTATGCGAGTTTGGTGCTGCAGCGTGCAATTTGCTCTATTGCTTGCTCCTTGACTACGTACTTAACTCCCTCCTGATCGCAGATCCTGCGAAGCTCTGTCGCTTTCATGGTACTCAGGGCGTGTGTCTGCGAGAGTGCATACTCGATCAATTCCTCACTCGAGCCTCCCGCAGGGCCCACCTTCTTAGGAGTCAAGAAACCTCCGCCGTTGTCGTCCTCATCCGTCACTTGTGCTTTCCCCTTCCGCTGCGCAGTCTTCTTCCTCACCGTCCGACTCGTAGTCTTACTTACGATTGGTGATTTCTTCTTATTCTTCCTCTTCCGCTTCTCTAATGCCTCAACCAACTTCTCAGTCTCGTCTCGTACTTCGTCACTTTCGTCGTCGGACGCTGCGATGTAGTTCCTGATCTCTTGGATCATGCGCGCCTTGGTCCGCGGAGACCGCTTTCTTGAATAATCCGCTGGCTGCTCTATTGTTGGTATCTGTATCGCCAACTTCCGTTGTGTTAAAATCTTCACAATCGTCGCTTCTAGTCGCGCCTCCCTTGCTTCTTTGTCTCGTAACTTCTCCCCTTCTCTCCTTTCTTCCTCCTCTTTTCTCCTTCAAGTTGTCTCCTCGATCTCTTGCTGCTTTTTCTCCTCCTCTTCCTTCTCCCTCTTCGCTTTCCTACGCAAAAGCTCCTTCATCTCCTGATCTTCTTCGGGCCGCTGCTTACTCGCTGCTTGCCAGCAATTGCGAGAGTAATGCCCCGTCTTCCCGCATATGAAACATGTAACGGTCCCGTACGCTATTGGGCTGCTGTTCTGTCCCGCCAGGGGAGATCCGGGCATGACTTGCCCCATCATGGGGCTAGCCATCCCTTGTCCCGTCAAACCCTGCCCTGCCATCCCGTGCCCTACTATGCCAGGGCCACCCATCCCGCCCACATTCGTCTGCATGCTTAGTGAAGCCGTGCTAATACTACAATCGTGTGCCCGATAGCGGTGCAAATCCGATCTAGCAAGCGACAAGTCTTGTTCAAGCTCGGCACCACTTTCAATTTATATAGAACGGAGGAGCGTTTTGCCCGTCTTGTAATTGGGAAGAGAACAAGCCGACATAACGTCCCAAGCAATCTCTTGCTGCGCTTCAAGTACTCCATGACACTATGCCTCACCCGCACGCTATACCTATCCGTGACTGACATCCGTAGGATGATGTTATCGCCAAGTTGTTGTAGAACCCGACGGAACCGTCTTAACCCCCGCAAATGCTTGAAGGTGAGGATACTCAACTTCAGCATCCACGACCCGACAGCCATCCCCCCTATTCGCTCCACAGCACCCACCGCCTATCCCCCGCACTCCAGTATCCGGTTCCTTGCTACCGAAGTAGTCGAGAACCACGCGACAACGCACACGGCCAAGGCACGTTGATCGTCGCGTCTACCTTGAAATCAAGGGTGAACGAACAGAAACACTGCACAACGTGGAGGACAAAAGTTCTTTGCCAAAACACCACACATAAACACGCAATCCCTCTATCGGTTTCGACTTGTGCGTGACAAGTCTCTTCAGGAGGGTAAGTCAAAAACGATGGGAACGTCTTCCCACCTTCATCCTTTATATCCGAATCGCTT